TGCGTGCGGCCGCGCCTCGCCTAGGCCCTTACTCCGCGCCGAGAAACGCGCGCCGCTCCCGTTCCGCCCGGTCAGGCTGGACGGGAGAGCGAGGGGCCTTGAGCCCACTCGGCACGGGCACGGGCGTTTCTCTCGGGAGCAGGAGTGCGGGTCGTGGCCGCTCGAAGATGTAGCGCGAATCAGTTATTTTGTGTTTCACGTCTGGAACATTTCAAATGTCCGCGGAGCGAGAGTGTTTGCGGGCCTTGGGTGGCTGTTCTTGCGGGGTTTCTTTAGTTAGCTGCGTGTTTAATTTAGAACAGCGCTATTTCTTACTGTTTATAAATAAGTCTAGATTTGCTATTCTCTCTCTTTATTTGTAATGGTTAATGCAAGCTATGTTACCTGGTTCTGTGTATCTTGCATTTAAGCCGGGGGAAGGAAGTGCATGGAAGGGAGAGGGAGGACCAACCCTGTGATGCTTCAGTGGCAGGACCTGAACTGGTCTGAACCTCCATATCTTCTTGTTGTGGATGGCTCATGTCAGAAAACCAAAATAAATTACAGAAGCCCCACCCCAATATAGTGAAACAGCTTTGAGAACAGTAGTCAGTGTTACAGGATTAGAATGGTTTCTGGCACAAATAAAGCCCCAAACAACCCAGGCACTGCTGTGGCATGGGCAAGGTGAGAGAAGTGGCACTGGGAGTAGTGGGAAATATTTCCTAGATTTATAAACTATGAGAAATGTGAGTAAAGATCAGGTGTTCACTTTCTCTTCCAGCCTGATTATGAGGAATTGAAGCTGGCACATGGTAGAGTTGTTTCTTAGCATAGTGTGAAACTCTGGAATTCTGTGCCTAAAGCTTATTATATGCAGAGCAGAAAGCTGCCAGGAAATCCCCTGAGGCTCCTTAAACATGAAGACTTTCTCTGGGAATGCTCTAAAGAGGGAGTAAAGGCTAGGGAGAATGTTCACAGGGGTATTGCTTTGTGTTTATTTTCTCAGGATCTTGCCTTGTATTGTAGTTATGGCTACTGCTACATAAGGGTTTCTTAGCAAAGACTTTCATGAGTCAAACTGGTATGTAACAATTAGTATTTCAGCCATTGATCTACCCTCTGAGCTGCTGCTAGGTGCAAGGCAGGACTAGCAGGATTATTATGGCTCCTCTGATGTTGCAACACCTGCAGATGGAGAGAGATTTGTTTGGGAAGGACAGAGGTTCTGGGTCTGGTAACTGTACTTGGCAACTACCCTCTCTCCACTTTTGCAGGAATGTTTCAGATGGGAAGGACAGTTCATGGATTTAGAGACAAAGTAAGGCTTTTGAGAACAGCTGTGGAAAATGCACTGATCTTCAGATTTTGGAGCCCAGGCTTCCTGTGTAACAATATGTATATTTTTTTTAGGATAGACATTTAGCAGTTGTTCTCTGCAGAATGGTTAAGAGCTTAGAATTGCTGTGGAGAAACTGCTACATCTCTCTGCCCAAGACACTGCCTCAACACCTGAATATATTTCATATTAGAAAGTAGTGACCACAGTTCTTGCTGACATAGAAAACTAGAACTTGTCTTTAATTAGATTTACTGCTCTGCCTTCAAATATGTCATATGCTTAGTAGATTTTATCATAAACTTTAAATGGTTAAAGAAAGTAAAAATTGGGGTTTTTTTTTGAGAAGTCACTAGTCTTTCTTAGTCAGTTCTGTAGCTGTTAAACCTTCAATGGTATTTCGTTGCAAATGCATCAATTTGTTAGTTGCAGGTGCTTTTGTATGGACAGGGTGTGCATGTATAACGTGTTTGGAATGGTTTGCTTTCAAGCCAGCAAGAACAGAAAGTTGTGAGGTGGAGAAGGAAGCTCCTCTTGTGGCTTGTAGATAAAACTTTGGTCTGACAGACCTGCTTTCATGTCTTAAACCTGTGCATATTCCTAATCCAACCTACATGTGTGGGCCTCAGGAGTATTATCACACCTAGAGGGTGTGATAATACTCCTGTAGGCACATTTGCCTGTGACTTCAGTGAAATTGACTGGATACATTAGGTAGTTCATGTCTTGGGGAAGTGTGACTGAGGGTGTGATGCGTATATGTCTCTGGTATAACAAGAAATATTTTCATAGCTGTCAAGTGGACAGTCACTTACCAGGATACTTTGGTGAGAAACACCTTGTACTTCATTTTCCCCTAGCTTGGGGGAGGTTTTATTGCAGAAACTGTGAGAATAACATCTATACAAAATCAACCTGTACAGCTGGGAGCTTAGCTTCAGCATGGAGATTATTGTAGAAACGAGATATAAAACTCAGTGAGTTGTTCTGTTACGTCTGTGACAAACTGCTGAAGAGAATCAAAGAAAAGAGGCCTTCCAGAAGTTTCTAAGGAATGAGCACGATATCTTTATTGCTGAACAAAACTGACTGGAATCTCCTAAAGCTCTCATACTGACATGTGGTACTGTTCTTGATTCTGGACACGTTAAAGTTGAATAGCATTGTGTTAATGTTAGACCTACTTGTTTGTTAAACTTGTGTTAATGTTAGACCTACAGACAGGCTTACTTGTGGAAGGAGATGACTAAAACTCCTTACATTCTCTGTAAAAGCTTTTAAGAATGTGCTTCCAGTCTATTTTAGTAGGACTTATAAATCAGTATCTGGAGTTCAAAAGTATTAAAAAAATACTTTTTTTTTGGAGTTCAAAAGTATTTTAGTAGGACTTGTAAATCAGTATCTGGAGTTCAAAAGCACAGATTATTCTTATAGCCTACCTTTTACATAATAGACAAGCATGTTAATTGTTGAATTCTTCACTTATTTTTTACTTTTTCAAAAGCCATTATCCAGTACTAAGTCTCCAGAACCAGGAAAGTGTGGTGTTTAAGTTAGAAGCTGTAGCTTTAGCTTATGCTGGAAAGCTGAACATGGATGCTGTTGTTGAAGTTCAAACTGCAAGAGCTTTCCACAACTACCACGTTCAACCTCCACTGTAGAAGTTAAGTGTTGCTGAGTAACATTTTTGATCCCTGAAATTTCATAGTCTGTAGGGACTAAAGTGTTTTTGGTTTTGGTTTTTGTTTGTTTGTTTTTTGTCGCAGTTCTGTTTGAGATTTCAAGAATATTAAACACTGGCTTGGATATGGAGACATTGTCTATTTGTGTGCGGCTTTGTGAACAGGGAATAAATCCAGAAGCCTTATCATCTGTTATTAAAGAACTGCGTAAGGCTACAGAAGCCCTGAAGGTAATGCTTTTGTTTAAAAAGCTTATAAGTTTGTTTTTAAGAGTCAGATGTATGTGGAACTTGCTATACTTCAGTTTGTAAATTGTACTTTAAGAGAGGATTCATTTTTAAATCAAGAAAATTAACTGTTCCATAGAAAAGGCAATGAATACAACTGAATTAAACATGCAGCAGGAAATGGTACAAATAAATATTTTGTACAAATGAAGTAGTTAGATGATCTCTTTTGAAGGGGAAAAAGGGGAACAAATCAAGCAAAAAAACCACAACCAAACTCCACAGATTTTGATTCTGGACATTTGTAGTCACTATTTGTCCCATTATCTGCATCTTATCTCAAAGAGATTGCTACTTGAGCCAATATCATTCATTTCTGTAACCTTGGGCCTACAGTGTGCAGCAGTACTTGTAAGCAGGTCCATGCAGCTTGCTAATGTAATGTTCACATATTGCTTTTACCACATTAACTCATGCTTTGAACCTTTTCTAAGACCTTCAAGAGGTGATTTCATGATGTGTGTATAGAGAGGATTTTTGGTATATTAGCATTTACCTGTTTAATTAGCACAGAGGGTAACTATGGTTTAAAAACAAATCCTCACTTGACTTTTAAAGGATTTTAATTCTTTACTGTCTATCCAAACATCACAATCACTATTCTTTTCTACTGGATCTTATATTTGTTTATTTCTGGGAGGCAGAGGGGAAATCTATATCTTGCTTCTATTCTGGAAGGCTGCACACTTTAAGTTAATGTTTTTCTATGCTCATGCATATTTTATATTTGTGCCCATGCTTAAAGCTGTGCATGCATATGCATTTAACTGCGTGTAAGTAATTTGAGGGCTGGTTTACTTTTTCTTTTGCTTTTACTGTTCTATCATTCTCATCTGTTAGTTCCATAACTGGCTTCAAATCTACCAATGTCAGTCTTCAACTACTGTGCCTTGTTGGCTGAGTTATTCAGTAATAAAAATACTGATGTTCTTAAATAATTGGCTGTGTAACTTCTGCAGTTATGATTAGTGTATTCTTCTAAGTTTTCTGTCAATAACTTACCTGTATGAGTGGGAGTAATAATTACTGTAAATTGTATAAAGTAGCAAACTCCAGAGGGAATCGTATTCATGCATTTGAGCACTTCTTGCAAGCATTACAATAAAATGTACAGGGTACAAGCTGTTCAGACACAGACATACAATTTAACACAGGCAAACAGCAATGGCTACGTTAGTAAAGGGTGATGGCAGTTGACAGCATTATTTTTTTAAAATATTCATTAGAGAACAATACCACACATAATTTCAGAAATAGCTTATTTTTAGACTTCTAAAGTTTTGAAGTTCTCTAGGTAAATTAAAATAGTTACCAGAAAATATTAAATTTAATCATGGTGTTTCTCTTGATGACTTGCAGTAAATGTTTTTTTTTCTGTTTCTAGGCCGCTGAAAATATGACAGGCTGATTGGGGAAAAGATTTCTGCATGAGAAGAATGTCAAGTTGAAGTGACAGGAGCTCTGAAGATTGCCACTGTTCAGAAGAGAATGAAATAAGTGTGTGTGTGTGTGAAGGTTTCAGAATATTTATGTAATGCTATTCAAAAGGATGGTCTCTATAATAGCTTTGAAAATTTTTTTAATAAGAGAAGTTCACCAGTAGTATCATTACTTGGTGCTTTTGTGAACTGTTTGTGAATACAGTGCAATTGGTCTTTGGCATCCAGTGCTTCTAAAATCATGTCAAATACTGTACATTTGCTGAATTTACTAGTGTGTTGCAACAGATATTGTTAGAATGAGTGTAGGTTGTTAATGTATCCTTTAGAAGTGCTAGTATATCCTGGGGTTTACCTATATATACAATTTTAGTGTTGCTTTATGAGCCAGATAGGAATGAAGCCCATACTGACTTTATTTTAATTAGAGTAAGGGCAGTGACTTAAGTCTCAATCTGAAAGTAAGAAATAAACACTTTTGATAATGTAGGTAATGAATTGTCCTTTTGATTTCAATTCAAATTGCTGGGAAAAGTATTTGACTCTGATAACAAAGGTACTTTAGTTATCCAAGAAGAAATGTATGTAAATTTAAATTCTAGGTGGTGTGGAATATTTTTTGGAGACCAGGTGCTACATTTGTTACATTTGTTCTGACCTCTGGATCTGAAAATGTTAAGATTGAATTGTTACTTCCTGGTCAAAGCATATAGGAGAGGCATCAGATTTGGCTGATGGGAGTCAATGAGTCTTAAACAGCCAGTTTTAGGAATGTCTTCTCATCTAGCACTGGGAATCTTCACTGATGCCAAACCAAGTGTTACTTTCCAGTACATCCCCTTGCATCTAGGAATTGTACTTCATAAGAATACACTTATGTATTCTTCATCTACTGCTGTTTAAGCTTAATAGGTGAAGCACATTTGGAAATTGCTTAACTAAGATTCCAGGTCCAAAAGTTATATTTGTGTGGAGGTAAAAAGTTCTTTCTACTTTAAGAGTTTACGTTGCATGCACTTTAGGTCATAGCTCTACAAAAAGCAATCAAGGAGGCTAAATATTTTGTATTGCTGGCAGAATAGAAAAATATTTGTATTATACTTAATTATCTTTATTTCAAATTAGGCTGGCCAAAAATTTGTTCCAGGAGGATGCTGTAAAAAATTCTGGGTAAGCAACCTGGGGAGCTTTTAGGTGGTGTCATTTCACTCACTCACAACACCAATTTACAAAGGATGTTAAGTGTTCATAACTTGAATACTGAGTGTATTTTTTTTTTTAAAGAAATGAAGATACCTTTAGTATGAAAAGATACAAAAAATTAAATTTATCTTAGGAAAGCTGAAAATTGAGTAAAACATCATGAAAACACCATGGCAGGGCAACACAAATTAGCAATTAGCTCTTATACTTAATTTTCTCTAGACTCAGTGCTACATGTTATAAATAAGAAAAGACTTGAGGAGCATTCTTGCTGTTTTCAGGAGTCACATCTAAGTCTGAGATTTCTCTTGTGAAACTTAAAGCTCTGGAAGTTTTCTATAAACTATAACAAATATGCCCAAAATAACAGTGAATTTGTTTCTAGAATTTCTGCTGGTGTTTTTTCTTTGGGCAATACAGGAAGTCTGATGACTTCCCTTGAATGTCACTCTATTATGTATGTATTTCTAGGGGTTTTTCTAACTTATTAGCTTGATTTTGGTGTGGATTTTATGTCCTTGAAGTGCTTAAAACCAGTTTGCAACTGCAATATGAGAATATATATAATTTATGTAATTATTTGTAAGTCTTGATCTGTTCATTAAATTGCATCGGCCATTTTACCCTCAGTAAGCTTGCAGTTTGTGTGCACTTAGACATTTGCCGGTCGACCATCTGTCATGCAGAGTTACAGAAGCAGGGCATGTTTTTGACATTCAAACCCCCAATCTGATGCATCTAAAACTAAAAATACATCGTTCTCATTATTACATAGAACTAAATGCTAACATTGGTTACTTAATATATTAAAGGGAGGACATGTTGCAAAACTGGCAGGTCTGTAGTTACCTGAGAAGTCTATATAGTATAGTATAGTATACAGTATACTTGGCAAGGCTTCTTTCAAAATCCTGTGTGAAACAAATGTGCTTAGGAATTGATATAAGAGAACTCCTGATGGCTTTTGATTTGGGGTACCATCCAGAACAAATACAACAAATATTTGTTTATTGTTGGTAAGAAATAAGAAAATCCCTCTAGTAAGAAGTTTCATACTGGAGGTATTCGTGCTGTAAGGCAAGTGTGTCACTGTATTAGCATGCCCACTATGTGAACGTGAGTACTCAGACTTGGCATTGATGACTGAGAGGCTTTGGCTGCCTTTGTAACCCACACCACCTTCTACTACGTGTAACTAAGCCAAGCAAACAGCACTGCTTTTCTTCTGTGTTCCTGACTTACATGCTCTTGGAACTCTTGAAAAGATAAACATAGGAATAGCTCTACAGGTCCTGACCAAAGTGATTTTTTTTTCCTGACACAATAGCTTCTTTTGTAGTCAAAAGCAGCTGCCTGAGGAAGGATAAGAACAATGCAAGCAGATTTGGTTGTTTTTCTTCTGTGTTCTCCTAGCTTCTAAATGTCTTTTATTCCAGGCTTTCCTGTATATCGTATGGTTTGTCTATTTAGTAATCCTCAATGCTTTTTCCAGTACTTTTCCAGTTTCCTTTGGACTATATATTCTTCCTGAATAACAGCAGCCTTTCTCAATTGATGTCTGTTGCATAAAGAATTGCCACTTCTTATTTGTTTTGAACTTGGTTTTTACTAGTTTAATGTCCTCTGCACAGTAGACTTTTACCTACCATGCTTGTGCCAATGTTCTGGAGATACATAACAGTCACATTTAAATATCCTTTTCTAAACTGAAATGCATTAGCTAAGATACTTCTTGGCTGACCAAAGGCGTGGAATAGCTTCTGTATTTAATGTCCTTCGAAACTTTTCTGGGTCTCGTATTATTTTCTGAGAAGGGAACCAAAGCTGCGTGCAGCATTAACCATGTAGTTAAGTATTGGTCTGTTTGTTTGCTTTCTTCCTCTTTATTCCTTTCCTAGTCATTTCTAATATTTGACTTGCTTTTTTTAATTTGAGCTGAACGTTGAGCTGATTTTATGGCATTATCTATCGTAACCACGTGATTTCACTCTTGAGGGGAATGATAAGCTCAGAGACTGTTTTTTCATGTGTGAAATTATGGTTATCTCCATGTCTATAATTTTTTGTTTGTGTTGAATTGCATCTGCCACATTATCTCCTAATCAGTCTCCATGTGTTTCTGCAGTTCTTCACAGTTTGCCAGTAGTCTTACTGCCCTCACTAACTTTATAACTGGGAAATTTTGTCATTTTGTCCCTTTTTTGAGGTTAAATATGACTAAGTCATGCAGCACACAACCTAGAAAAGACTCTGCAAAAGAACTCTGGTGACCTAGGGCAGGAGCTGAGTATTTATTCTCATTTTCAGTGATTGTGAGTAAAATGTAGTCCTGCCTACTGCTTACAGTTTCTCATTCTTATACCAAGTATCTTCAGTGTCACATATAGCAAAGCTGTGAAAGCTTAAGCACAATCATGAATCAAGTCCTGCAGAGAGCATGGCATGCTTGGTAACTATCAAGATCCTTGACATTTGTACAGTTTAGAAATAGAAACTTAAGTGAAAAAATAGCCTTATATGAGATTGCATAGTACTAGAAAAGAAGACAAACATATGATCCTGAAGTCTCCATCTTAACATTATGGAGGTTTTGTCTCTTAGTAAATTGTATTGACCAAAAAAAGTGTTAAAGTTCTTTTCCAGCCTTAACCATTTTATGGTTTTATGTTGATGTGCACTTCAGTTTATGAGGGACAGTTTTCACTTAAAATGCCACTGACATAATTTAGTAAAAACACAAATGTACTGTGTTGTTACCTATTTTGGTGTCTTGTTACCACAGGAGTTAGATTTGAAAAAAACCCAAACCTATAAAAATGCTAAAAAAATATCAGTTCTTGAAAACTGCTAATTTGACAAGGATTTTAGAAGCACCATAAACATGTTCTTTACTACTCTGCTCTCATGGGACCCCACCTGGAATACTGCATGCAGTTCTGGTGCCCTCAACATAAGAAAGACATGGAACTGTTGGAGCAAGTCCAGAGGAGGCCACAGAGTTGGTAAGAGGACTGGAGCATCTCCCCTATGAAGACAGGCTGAGGAAGTTGGGTCTGTTCAGCCTGGAGAAGAGAAGACTGCGTGGAGACCTCATAGCAACTTTTCAATATCTGAAGGGCCTACAAGGGAGCGGCAGAGGGAATCTTTGTTAGGAACTGCAGTTACAGGACAAGGGGCAATGGGTTCAAATTGAAAGAGGGGAAGTTTAGGTTAGATATTAGAAAAACATTTTTTACTGTGAGGGTGGTGAGACACTGGCACAAGTTGCTCAGGGAAGTGGTGGATGCCCTAAACCTGGTGGTGTTCACAGCCAGGATGGATGAGGTCTTGAGCATCTTGGTCTGGTGGGGAGGTGTCCTGCCCATGGCAGGAGATTGGGACTAGATGATCTGTAAGGTCCATTCCACCTCCTAAAATTCTTTTACTGTGAGGTTTTTGTGAAGTTGTAGGAAAGGTTCCTGTTATATACGGAAAACAGGTTTATCAAGTAGTAATAGTGAAGTAAAACCGTAGTGCTGTTGGTTTACTGCTTCTGGACCTGCTATTTCTACTTCAAGAAAGTACAAGGATGATTTAAATGAAGCCATAAAGCTGTTTTGGAAATGGAGAGCAAGCTTGATGAAGTCCTGAAAGAACTCAGGAGTGTGCAGGTTCTCAAAGAAGTTGAGAAGAGACGTGACCCTAGTTATGCCCTTGGGCATAAAGGAAGTCTTGCAGCTGCATCTTTTTAGCCTAACAGAGAAAATGTACCAGATCCAGTAGCTAA